TTTATGTATTAGAGTAGTGTTCCTAAAATTCATATGGTGTTTCCTCGACGTTTCCAAAGTTCATATGATATTTCTTTAGCATTCCCTGTCTCCTCTCAGATGTTGCCATAGGTCCCGACACTCATGTTGCTAATGACGACTTTACCTTACATGCCAAGTAAGCAGGGCTCATGCCCTTGACTCGAAATCAAAAACAAAACTTAGGTATTGCAAATCTACAATTGTACACAATGACTTGATAATTCTATGAAATCTCAATTTAAAGCTTGGAAGTAAAAATTTAGAGCAGGCTAAAAAAACTCTTAATAATTTTAAAAGGAGTTTACTTGAGAGTTTTAACAAAAATCAACAAGATGAAAGTTTGACTTTTGCTAATAAACAATTAGATCGATAAGTCACAGAGAAAGGTTACCAAGTGCATGATACTAGGTACCATCGCATGAAAGTAGAATTTCTTATATGAGAAGATAAAAATCCGACCAATTGAATTTTTAGAATAGAGAAATTTTTTTGCTTTCATAAAACTCCTGAAGATTTTAAAGTGGAAATAGCTTCAATCCAACTGAATGAGGATGTTATTCAATGATATGATTGGTATAAAACATGTTATGTGTTTTCTCATATGAGTAATTTAAGAAAGAGTTTTTTTTGTTCATTTTAGATCATCTGAATATGATAATATTAATGAGCTTGTCAAGATTCATCAGACTTCTATTATGTTATAGTATCAAAATTGATTTGAATAACTATCAATTTAGGTTAAAATTTGATCTAAAAGGTAATTGGTGGAAACATTCATTAAAAATTTTAATTCAGACGTATATTGTGAAGTAAAGGGTCCCCAACCTCACTTATATTAGGTATCTACAGAAGAAATCTAAGCAAAGGCAACACCACTAAAGATGGGAAACCAAGGAGAGAAAAGAAGAGATGCTGTATTATTAATATATTTAACAGAATTCTTTGATGACAACCACAAGAACATATATAGCTCATGAACCAAAGCAGGAAGGAAAGCAGTGTGTTGGAAATGAGTAAGGTATGCAGATGAAGACATCCATTAACTTGCAACTTTATTGGCTGGCAAAAGCCGCCCATGCAATGTAATAATCCATCCCCCACAATTAAGAGAAGTATTCCCACGCATGAGGTCATATGCTTCATAAATAATTCGAGTGCATGACAATTCATAGGTCACCCACATCGAACGAGATATGTGAAAAGATGCAGCATTTGGTTCACCAAGATATGATTCTAAATGTTTCGGGGGGAAAAAGAGAGAGAGAGAGAGAGAGAGAGAGGGAATATGTTCTTGAAAAGATACAACATTCGATTCACCAAGATATGATCCAAAATGCACGACAAGAAGGATTTTCTTCTTTCTTATTATTAACAACACTTAATCCATGCTATTTATCGCCACTTTAGTCCACAAAAGCAACCTTCTCCACTTCAGTCTCACTCGTGAGTAAAGACACAGCAGACACCAGGTTGTTGACATAATATACCTCCATAAATACTAAGATTATTATTATTATTGAGTTTATATATGACTAATACTAGTTGCTATTCTATGATCCATTTTTTAAATATGTAATTTAAAAAATAATAATTCTAGACTAAAAAAGAAAATACATTATGAAAGCATCAAGTAATTTCAAAATAAATCAGGGGGATTTCGATTACCTTATCATTGAAAGCGGTTAAGGCGTAGTTTGCCACATCGTCTTTCTTGATTTTCTCCTCGTTTTCGGAGGAGTTCGATTCATCACACTTTGTATTCTTTTTCAAGTTCATTGTTTATTTTAGATTTTTATTTAATAAACTTATTAAGATTTAGTGTTCGAAGTTCAAGTTCATCATTGTCCTCATCACTTGAGTCTTCGCTCAAGTGGTATTCATTTGTCCGGGATTCCAAATCCTTCCTGTTCTTTGGAAGGTTGTTTTGTTCATCATGTTCATCATGTGCATTATGTACCATTTCATATGTAACCAATTAGTTCTTGTTACTTTTGAATAGTTACAAAGATTACACGCCATTTCCAACTGAATCGGTCGTTCCTTACGAGGCACCACGTAGATTCTGACGCGGATCGACGTCCATCCCGTTCCTTCCGACTGTTGTTCGATGGGAGGGAACTCGTCCGAACCGCACCCTCATCTCGACCTCTTCTTCCTCGGCCCCACCCAGCGACCACCCCGCGTGGAGTACATGACACGTCATCCGCAGCTGTTCCCTCGCTCGCGAAAGAATTCTCGTCTCGGTGCTCCGCCGAAAACTAACGATTAGGTCTACACGCACAACCTTCCGACCCGACCGCGTCCTCCCTCGAATCGCATGTCGTGGCTACGTTGGAGGAAGAAGTTGCCCAAGAAAGTTAAAATTTTGTGTCGGAAGCTTTTGCCTTCCAACATCTGATCGAATGGAGCCTATGCAATTTACTGTACGTAATTCAGATTTAAAATCAATTAATCCTATCTTTTTTCACTGTCCTTTGCACTTTATGTAAGTGCTGCTGATTTGAAACATATTCTTTACTCGTATGTGATCTTTGTGTAGGAGAAATATGTCTGTGTGTTCCTCTATGAAATCATGGCTTTTTATTGAGGTGATGGCATTTATTTTGATGTGTTTGTTTGGAAGTTGCTTAGCTGCCGAATACACGTACAGTGTTCGGATGTTCCCCAATATAAAAGAAGCATCCCACCCTGGTTGGTTTGGTTCATCAGTGACGAGCGTTCCTCTCGGAGCCCCTTGTTCAACATTTAGCTCGATTTCTTGAATAATTTGAGCGATTTTTGCGTCCGGTTTCTTTTTCTTCAAATTTTCTCCTTTTTTTTTTCTTCATTTGTTGGTGATTTGGGTGGGCTGGGGGGTCGAAGATGACGGTAGGGGCGGGGATTCGTGTTAAGGACGGGGATCTGGTGGTGGTGCGGACGAAGATCTTGTCGGATGTGCACCAGAACGTCGTCTTGACGCCCGCCAGCGGGAACGGGGTGATGAACGCCGCATTTATCGGCGTCCGATCCGAGCGCCGAGGGAGCCGCAATGTCTTCCCCATCGGAAAGCTTCTGTAAGTTTCCTTTTTGCTCTTTTTTTTCCTAGTCTTTTCTGGAGCAAAGGATGTACTCCGTTCCTATTCTCGTTCCCTTCACTTCTAGTTTGTAAAAATTCTTCCTTTTCCTTTATTTGCATGGCCTCTTTCAAGATCCACCACTGTCATCGTAGCAAGCTATAGTGACATAAATAGGCGTAGCTTTAGTTTGGCCAAGATATTTGTCTTTCCTTTCCAAAGATTCTTCGACAAAATTTTCTTACCATATAAGAGTAATCTGATGTTCCGATGTAGCCTTCTTGGTGAATTCATGGCGGATAATCTCTGTCTTGGGATTGCAGGGACCTCCGGTTCATGTGTACTTTTCGGTTCAAGATGTGGTGGATGACTCAGAGGATGGGCTCTTGTGGACGAGATATCCCTTTCGAGACCCAGTTTTTGATCGTTGAGGGAGCTGATGGTTCTCATTTTGGAGAAGGGAGTGAAGGTGGGGTGGGCCAACCTGCAGTCTATACAGTCTTCTTGCCGATCCTCGAGGGAGCCTTCAGAGCTGTGCTCCAAGGAAATGTGAACGATGAACTGGAGATTTGCTTGGAAAGTGGTATGCAATCTCCCCATTTTTTATAACAAAGTAGACGTTTAACTTTACTCTGTAACTCTGCATGATTATCACACGTCTGGCTACCTGATATTTCAGGTGATCCTGCTGTCGAAGTTTATGAAGGAACCCATTTAGTTCTTGTGGCGGCTGGGTCAGATCCATTTGAGGTCATCACATATGCAATCAAGTGAGCAGTTTATTTTATTTGTCCTCACCTTTTCGTTAAAAACATTTCATGTTGATACAAACATTGTTGACAAGAAAATTGTTGTGTATATCCTGCAATGTCTTTTAGCATTAACCAAGATTCGTTTTACCAATCCGTATCGGTGTACCGGCTGATGATATGGTACATACCATTCCGTACCGATGTATTATATGTCAGTACGATAGGGTGTATTGACAACACAGAAAAATGACTGAAAATAGTTCTAAAAATTCTTGAAAAAAAAATAAATAGATTGAGATTTTTAAGTTGAAAATGAATATAAATTTAGTATAATTATAGCAATAAAAATCTAAATTAGGAAAGAATAGTGATACAAATCACTCGGTATAGGGTGGTCCACGTACCAGTCCCCTATCGGACTGGTACGTGCTGCCTGTACCGGGCAGTATATCGTGGCATGGCAACCCATGGTATTAGCAGTATTGGGGAGAGATTTGATTTAGCTATGTGAGACATTGTTGTTAGTGGTTATTGTGCAATTCTTTTCTTGATACGTTTTATACTTCCATCTTGGTGTTGCATATTGATGTTTAAAAGAGTGCATTAATCTAGCATTCATTTTAAAAGTTGTGGTTTCCATAAACTTTCAGCTAGTATAAATAAAACGTTAATTTTCATATAATCCAGCACCCTATATTGTTAACCTGTGCAAAATAATCTATCAAGTCCTTCAATTGTCCTTTTCAATCATGAATAGGTATAGTGCTTTAAGATGTAAATCAATTGTGTCATGCAACATCTCTTTGTTTAGCATTTAAAGAATTCATTGTATTATACAGGACTGTTGAGAAGCACTTGCAAACATTTTCACATCTAGAGAGGAAGAAGGTAATATATACATACATATACATATATATACATACACACACACACACACATACATATATATATATATATATATATATTCATCAGCTTGTGTACTCTTTAAGTTGGTCGACAACAATATGTTATATATATTTTTCTTTTTTCTCAGATGCCAGATATCTTGAATTGGTTTGGCTGGTGCACATGGGATGCATTTTATACTAATGTAACTGCTGAGGGGGTTCAACAAGGATTGGAAAGGTGCTACAGCAGCCTTCTGTACCTTTAAGAAACTTCTTTCAAGTGTTATGCAATTGTTTTTTTTCTCTGGAGAACTCTTGTTATTTGATTTATTAAAGATATCTTTTGTTATCTCCAGCTTAGGAATGGGTGGAATTCACCCGAAATTTGTCATAATTGATGATGGCTGGCAGTCAGTGGCTATGGATCCCACTGGAATTGCATCTGAATCAGAAAATGCCGCAAAGTAAGTGCCACTGACTTTTTTCTTTTTGTGGCTTTAACATGACTGACAGTGTTTGATCTGTTTGCTTTCCTTCTGACATTTCACCAAGTAATTCTTTTTTTCTACCTTTTTTATCAGCTTTTCAAACAGGCTGACACATATCAAGGAAAACCACAAGTTCCAGAAAAATGGTAGGGAGGGACATCGTGATGAAGATCCAGCAAATGGCCTTGCGCATATTGTTACAGAAGCGAAGGAAAAACATCAAGTGAAGTAAGTCATCTTTTTGCTCAATTGACAACTAGTTTTATAGTACAACATGGAGTTGATTCTCGTGTTTGATTGTTCATCCATCAAGCAGCTGTTCATCCGATCACAATTTTCTTGCACAGGTATGTTTATGTGTGGCATGCAATTACCGGATACTGGGGTGGCATAAGTCCAGGTGTTTCTGGAATGGAACATTATGATTCCAAGTTGCAGTATCCCATTTCATCTCCTGGGGTTCAGTCAAATGAACATTGTGATTGTTTGGACAGCATAACCAAAAACGGCCTTGGCCTTGTTAACCCTGAGAAGGTCTACAATTTTTACAATGAGCTCCACTCATATCTTGCTTCTGCTGGGATCGATGGGGTCAAAGTAGATGTACAGAACATTCTTGAGACACTTGGTGCAGGACATGGTGGAAGGGTAACGCTTGCTAGAAAGTACCACCAGGCCCTAGATGCTTCAATTGCTAGAAACTTCCCTGACAATGGAATTATATCTTGCATGAGTCACAATACAGATAATTTATACAGGTAAAATCTAATTTACTGTAAGAAGTTGTTTTGTTAAATTGCTGGTCTCCACACATTTCACTTTGTTTAATCTGGGTACAGCTCAAAGAGAACTGCTATTGTTAGAGCCTCTGATGACTTCTGGCCAAGAGATCCAGCTTCCCACACCATCCACATTGCATCTGTTGCATACAATACTGTTTTTCTTGGAGAATTTATGCAGCCTGACTGGGATATGTTTCATGTAAACAAACAAACAAAAATTTATGTTTTCCTTTATCACTACTTGTAAAGTTTTCGTGTCTATTAACTTGGCTGATGCCTTTTCTTCAGAGTCTGCACCCTATGGCTGAATACCATGGAGCAGCACGGGCTGTTGGAGGTTGTGCAATTTATGTTAGGTAAGCTTAATTTGCAATATTATCTCTTTGTGAAGAGATCAAAAAGTGTTTTCTTATATTAATCTTCTGTCTTGTGCAGTGACAAACCTGGGAATCATGACTTTGATCTGTTGAAGAAGCTTGTGCTTCCAGATGGATCAATCTTGAGGGCTAAACTTCCAGGAAGACCCACGAGGGACTGCCTGTTTTCCGACCCTTGTAGGGATGGCAAGAGGTGAAGAGCTGATCTATGTTTTAATTCATAGGATTTCTGGATCACATATCTTCTAACTCAATCGTGTTCCTGGCAACACAGTCTCTTAAAGATATGGAATTTAAATGATTATACTGGAGTTATTGGGGTGTTCAACTGCCAAGGAGCTGGATGGTGCAGAGTTGGGAAGAAAAACCTGATCCATGATGAACAACCTGGCACCATAACTGGCATTGTCCGTTCCAAGGATGTAGATTACCTTCCAAGAGTTGCTGATTGTGGTTGGAATGGCGATTCTATCATTTATGCTCATCAAGGAGGTGTGCACTCTCATATCTTGCATCCACAATAATATTTTGATATTTACAAAATTTAGCGATTCATCTTAGATTCTTCTGTTAAGTTGCCTCAATATGTTTGGCAGGCGAGTTAATTTATTTGCCAAGTAATGCATCCTTGCCGATCACATTGAGATCTCATGAGTATGAAGTCTTCACGGTTGCTCCCGTGAAGCAGCTGTCAAATGGAGTTTCTTTTGCCCCCATTGGACTAATCAAAATGTTCAACTCTGGTGGAGCCATCAAGGAGCTCAATTATGAGTCCACGAGAAAGGCAATCATAGATTTGAAAGTACGTGGCTGTGGTGTTTTTGGAGCCTATGTGTCGGTTTCTCCTGTGAAAGTAGCAGTTGATGCAGAGGCAGTTGACTTCACATATGATGAGAATCATGGTCTGCTAACCATTCATTTGGGGATTCCACAACGAGATTCATATATATGGGACATAACCATCGAGTTTTAAACAGCAATTGGAATGCTACTTCATTTGCAAGACCTGAATTCTACAACAATGAAACATTGCTGCAAGTTCATATGAGATGGCACAATAAGTAGCTGAAGAAAAGTGAACTTTTTCCTATTTTCATTTTAGGAACTGACTCTTCTGCTAAAAAGAATTGGCCTCTTTGCCTGGGATGAACCGCTCTAGAAGATATTTGATTAGGTGTGCTTAATATGGAGAAGAGAAGAAACATGAGGGCTGCTATGCTTGTTATCAAGGTGGATTGCTGCTAAAGAATGGAATGCTGTGCCCAACAGGAAACTCATAGACGTCTATGATAAAGCCAATGCAGCAGAAATCAGAAATTGGATTGTGGCTAATGTTTATGTCGAACAGTAGGTTGAGGATTAAGGTTGTAACATGAATCTCTGTACAATGTAGATCATGTTGGTCTCCTGATCTCCAATATCTTGTGTCTTATAAACATCTACCCGACATGTTTGTCACCGTGAGAATGGCCTTAGGAGTTCAGAGTGAAACAATAACCTGTAATATTTTCTGCAGAAGGTAAAGGAAAATGAGCAGCTTGATGTTGTTATTTGGTTTATGTACTATGGTAATGGTAAAATGTAGCTCCATTTTCTGGGATTTTGCCTTGAAGGATCCGAGTGTGTTCAGTCAATGCGACGGATTTGCTGTATTCGTATCATTTCAAGACTGGCATGCAAGATTTTCCATTTTGGTGAAGATTGATTGCCTAAGACCTTTTTAGTCTCCCTGGCAGTATGAGGTTTGCTTAAAATATATTTAAGAAAAGCTTTGTAGTTTTGACTGTCCAAACTTATTTGAGTGGGCGAAAGATGGAAGAGATGTGATGAATATTAAATTATGCTGACACTGAATCCTTCAAATATAATGTTAAGCTCCCAAAAGATTTGCCAAATTTTGTAGGCCAAAATTCCATAAATATCTACCAAAGATGCTAACAATATGAAATAAAAGAAGTTCCCAAGAAATTTATACCAAATTAGTTTAAAAGATAAAATTGTACTGGTTTTTAGATCACTAATCAGAACAGAATCCTTTGGAACCGAAATGTTTTGTGTGGAAAAACCATGACCTAATGGGTTTCGAGCATGATATTAATGGTGCAGATTGTTGTCGAAAGAGAATCCTCGGGTAGACGATGTCCAATGTCCATAAGAAACATTGTCTATCATCTCTTTGTCTTGAATATTTCATGTCAAGACAATGAAAGTTATCATTGCTATTGTCTGTCAACCAACTTCTGGGATGCATGATTAGAATGAATTACACAAATTCTTTTGCCGGTCGATACCAATTAGAATTATCATTGTGATCTTTTCTCGACTATACACTGCTGGTGGGAGATCGTGGGATCACGGGAAAACTTATTTGAGTGACTGAAACATTTATAGTCTTATAATTGACTAAATATCGAGAGATTTAACTAATATTTTCCTTTTCATATCAAAAAAATAATAAAATTAATAAAAATAAAACTCTCAACCTCTCAACTTTTTTAATCTCGACTTCAATATCTACCGCGAACACCCATGATAATAATACCTCTTTTTTTCGTGATCTTAATAATAATAATAATAATAATAATAATAATAATAATAATAATAATAATAATAACTAAATTGTCTAGTCGCCTTTTGTTTCAATTCATAGGTGAAAAGTCCAATCAAACCTAAATTTGGCCCCTGTCACACGAATCTAGCAAATCAATTTGATAAGACATATTTGGGCATCTCCTCCGCAATCACAGTCAATCGTTACGTAAGAGTCGACGTAGCGTCTCAAAGCTAACATGGCACATTGCGTTGATGCGACACCTCGAACCCATACGAGAGTGTTGCTTGCATTTGCGTTATCTATCGGTTGTGCCCATGTCGCCTGAGGTTGTATGAGGCAATGTCGCACGATACAAAGCAGCTCATGAAGCCCAAAGCAGTGTCGCGTGACGCAAGATCGAGCAGGTCGATTGATGCTTGCACAGGGCGTATGGGCCAATCGCTTGAGACATCGATGACCATTAACCGACCCTATACGACGACCTCTGATTGCGAGTATAAAAGCTAACCTTTGGGGCAGCACCTAGGGGGGACCTCGAACACCCAACCTTGCATCACTTCTTCCTACTAACTTAAACTTCGAATAAGTCGAATCAGGAAATCCACTCTCGACCTTGACCTATGTACAATAGTCAGGAGCTCGACGCAGGATGGAGTGTCGCAAAACGCATCCCGAACCAAGCCGTGTTGACTCCTCGGCTATAATGTAAAGTTGCACAACATCATTCCAACCTCTAGATCTGAAAGATTATTATTATTACGAAAGAGTTTCTAGATAAAATATTAAGAAACAATAAAAGAAAATATTAATCGTCCTACATCTTTCTTTCGTCCAAAGAGAAACAGATATATAGAGTATGATTGGTTAACCCAACCCCACCACCCATACAACCAGTGAATCGGATCGTGAGGCCAACCAGGTGGGCCCCCCTCGATTGCTTTTAGAGCGTGCTTGACCTCACTATATTCACATATTCTTCTGGTTAGTACTTTATCGTATAAATTATGGGTATCATATTCGAGCTCAAGTGTAAGCATCGTATTTAATATAATAAAAATTTCTTTTTAATTAGCAAACAGTTCTAATTGCATGTCCTATAAATGAGATATCCTTAGAGTTAGTACGTTATTGTATAAATTATGCATCTTAGATTCAAGTTCATATGCTAATAATTTTGAAAAATAAATAATATAATAATTTTAGAGAAAAATAGTTCTAATTAGTTGTTCCATAAATATATGTTATTTTGTACACCCCTTCGCTCCCTTATGTGTGCTCGTACAAATCTTTGTTTCCTTACTAAGTAAATATATAGTATTCATCGACACAAATCACCACCAATGACAAAGTCAGGAAGAAGAAAGAAGACTCAATAATGTTGATAGCCTCAATCTAGGTGTAAAATTTTGATCTTATCTTTTCATCGAAAGATGTTTGATAAATTTAGAGGACTAAAATTTTCTTTTGTGGAGGGGATAATATAACATCCCACATTTTTGAAAATTTAGTAAATGCTCGTTTGTAAATATGAGGATTATTTAATAATTTTTTTATATTAAATGATAATATATTAAAACTTTATGGCTAGAGACATTTTCTTTAAAAAAAAGAAGTGTTGTTACTATACGATAATATATGGATGATTTTCTTTAAAAAAAAAGTTTTGGCTTTTCTCAAAATATGACTCATTTTTATTGTTCCTAAATGATGTTTTTTTTTTTTTACTTTGAATAATATTCAGAAAATCTCTCACCAATCCCAATAGTATTTGTTTGGCTTGTTATATTGGTTATTATGATAAAAATATTATATGCTTACTTAAAAATACTACGATATAAATGGACTCATAACTTCAACCAAACTCATTTTAGTTTAAAATATGATATCACTTATCATATTTTTTAATAACTTTATAGTATTTTCAACACCTCAATAAAAATATTATAAGTGAACCAAATTGAATCAAAACACATTAGAAATAATTTAATATATCATACTAGGATTTAAATAGGTATTTATAATAATTTAGGAATAACATCAACTAAATTGGGACAAAAAATTAACATGGTACAATATCATGATCATTACAACAAAAATACTATAAATTCTACGTGAAAGCACAGTAAATGATTCGAATAGACTTCTAATTTCAATCAAGCTAACTATAAATCTAAAAATATAATATTTTAATGACAATGAAAGATGCATAATATGATGTGACTTATAATATTTTTTAATAATTTTATTATAGTGTTTTAAGTATCTCAATAAAATACTATAAATGAACCAAACAAAATACTATGATAGTTCGAAACCAGAAAAAAAATGATAAAAGAAGTATCATTGGGTTTGATGAAAGATATTTTAGGTATTATTTGGAAAGAAAAACTAAAACACGGGTGCTTTAGTGGAAAAAAGAAAAAGAAAAAGGGAGCATTTTCCCATGATATATTTGTGCTTCACAAAGGATGGATGATAAAAGATGGGCGAAAGAGAGTTTCTTGGTCGCTTTTCTCTTTCGTAGATGTATTAATATCTTCCGATTAATGAAATGAAGATTGCGAGCATACTTCCTCTTAATAAAAATGCACCTACTTAGCATCTAAACACGAGCCAATTACATCAGCAGCGTGATCAAGCGAATTGCTATTAGTTCATTTTTCTTGCACATCATCTGTCACTGTCGCTGACATGGTAAATCTAACGTAAAGAAGAATGAGGCTAAAACTAGTTCAAGAGTGCGGTCAACTCTAAAACCTCGAAAGAAGACTCTACTTCGAGTGGCTCGCAATCCAAAAGCTCCTTAACCATCTCCAGCAATCATGCATCCAGGAGCGCATGGATCGGCATTCCGATCGACATCCAGTAAAGCTCGCCAGTGTTAGTCGCTTACGCTATCCCCACAAGTCATTGCTTCCAAGCCATTTACTGGCCCTCCTCGCATACACCTAATGCTGTGGTAAGCCAACGCACAAGAGTTGTTTACTGTATGAACCAAGAGCCTCAAACCTGCGTGTTAGGTTCTCGACACTCGACAGACAGCAAAGATGGGAGTCGCGCAAAGCCAAACAAAGCTCTGGGTCACATCTAGTTGGTAGTCCTGGATTAAGGACAAGAGATTAAGAAGTTGCTATCTTGGTTATCCACAAGGATGACCAAGTTCATGGCGACAAGGACCCGAACGCAGCTGTAGGATTGCTAAGTTGAATAAGGACACGCGAGTTAACCATCTCAGATCTCCTTTAGTCTTTTTTAATCTGATGAATTAAAATAATCTTTTTTCTCTATTATGGTGGTGATGAGAGTAATACTAATTCTTTGCATGCAGGCTTCGTTGCCTGTGGACGCTTTCCATAAAATACATGGGTGTTTTAGAGTGTGGATATCGATAGTGGACAAAATAATGCTCCTCATATTTATTTCCTTATCTTTGTTATAGCATAGTTATGGATATATTGTTGTGGTTCAGAGTTATTTTTGGATTCCGGAAGTCACTATACTTGGAAAATTAAATTATGGAAAGACTTATTATCATAGATAAAATACCTTAAAATTTAGGGCTTAATTATTCTATGAATACTCACTCTATTGATAGGGTACATATCTTGATCATCCTATAAAGATTCGACATATCTTTATGTTGATCCACTTCAGTATGAATTAAAATAAAATAAAAAATAATTTTCTTTTTAAATCTTTCATTTTTTATAACCCTACAAATAGAGACCCCTCTAATAATTCTAAGTACTCTGTCCTCTCTTTGCTATTCTCTCTCTCTCTCTCTCTCTCTTGAGATTCATGGTGAGGGACAGTTCTCATTGTGTACGACAAGTTTCAGAATCGAGTTCTTAATAATTTTGGGACTAACACCCATATATCTCTAGGTTTTATTAAAAAATATTTTAAAAATAATTTTAACACTTCCAAGGTTTTTCTCTACTAAATTTTAGTAAATTTAGAAAGAGTAAAAGAAAAGAATTTTTTTTTTAGCAAGATGTTTATCTAACATGATATAAGTAACAAGTATCAAACCATGTATAATCTATTATTTATTATTATTATTATTTCTCTTTATATATATATATATATATATATATATATCATAATTATTCCATAGCGATATGTTTTTTTATTACTGAAACTAAAAGAAGGGAGAAGATAGGGCAAAATCTACGTATCGCACAACAATTGAGCCAGCGCACATGATGGGGCCGCTATCACAAAGGAAGTCTGATGGCTTCATCTCAACCCCTGCCTGTGATTTGGTAGGTTTAAACTCGACTGTCTCTTCTTGATTCGACATCAATTGTTTCGCTAATTATTACCATATCAAAACTATGGTAATAATAATAATAATAATAATAATAATACTTTCGATACTGAAATCAAATTAAATAGCGCAAATTGGGAAAGGTAACACTTTCCGACTGAAGCCCGATTAATGCAGTCTTCTTCGTAAAGCTATGCTCGTTTATATGTATGTGTGCGTGTACGTGAAAAGCAAAAAATAACAACAAAAACCAAAGGCTTATCGATAAGCAATGAGGCGTGGAGAGACGAGGAGGAGGAAGAGGAGAGGAGAGAGCGTGTGAGTCGTTCAGGCCGTTTCGGTGGTTCGCGTGGCGTGCGAGCAAAGCCTAATTGGCTGTCCCCATTCTTCTCCTATACATAAACACACGACCATATATATATATATCCCCGGCCCTGGAAGAAGACACCACCCCCGCAGCAATCGACCTCAGGTACGAATGAACAACCCAATTCACATCTTCACCTCTTTTTCCTCTTCCATCAGATGCAAACGGCTCCCGATTAATCTTTTTGCTGCATGTCATCGTGCAGCCGTGATTCGTAGGACGATGGATCGAGACACCAAGAAGAGAGGCCGAGAGGAGTCGGATGCGAGAGGAGAAGCGTGGGACCTGTCTTCGAAGAAGAAGAAGGAGAAGAAGAAGAATAATAACGACGCCGTCGACGACACGAACGTGTTCCGTCCACCGGGCCTCTTCGAGTTCCCGTGGCAGAAGGGCGAGCGCCTGCTGGTGCCGGAACCCGAGGGCTGGGACCTCCGCAGCGTCTTCTTCTCTTCCCTCGTCGATGGCTGCTCTGCCGCCATCGGGGTCCCCGGCGACCGGCTCTCCCCCACCGCCCCGCGCCCCTTCTGCCTCCTCGAGGATCCCACCGATGGGGAGCTCGACGGCGGCGTGGATTGCATCTGGAGTTCCGTCCTCCGCCACCCGCTCTCCACCGTGTACAGCAAGGGCTACAACGCATGAGAACTTTCCTCCTCCTTTTGGTAGATGATGGTTTGAACTAAGACGTTAACTGCATTGCTTAGATGACGATGACGACGATAACCAACGACGACGCTGTTAAAAACCGCATTAAGCAAAAAGAACTCAGATGATTATAGCCGTTAATCACACCAATCTCACAACCACAGTGATTTGGCACTTTTTATATCACCGTAATATTTTTTGTGTTGAAGGTGTATATTTTAATGTATTCCAATTTTTTTTTTCTTTTTTTGAGCTTATTACCTATTGAAATGGATCATACATTATTGAGATGGATTAGGAAGTCTGTTCGTCTTTAGCAACTGCTCCAAAATTCTGATAAATCTGCTGGAATTACTGAATTATCTATCTATCTGGCATCAACTTGCACGTGTTTTAAAGCATGATGTAATATATATCTACGGCTACCGTAAACGAACGCATTATGTTTATATATGTTTTCACGTTGGTATGGAGATCGATGGGCCTGATGAGTCGATGTTGATGGTTGTCATCCCTAATGTACTAAAATAAATATAATAATCTTACTGGGGGCAACGCTAATGCTCGAGATGGACAAAAGAATTAACCCACCGATGCTGTCTTTAGCAGTAAAATACCTGTCATAATTAAGTATGGGGTGGCTTCCTGCGTTAGAGGTGCAGGGCTTTCTATCACGTGAGATGATGAAACGTGCTTACACCCCTCGTGGAGGCGGTAGATCTCACGTACGGGGATGTGCGCCGCCGATGCTTGCCATCTGTGCATGTGGATTAATCGTATATTTGGCATTAAACTCGTTATCGACAAAATGATTCCCATGCTTGCAGCGAGTTACATCAAGCACAGTTCTACGGAGATACAAGTCTTCATTAAACTTATTTTAGTGATTGTAATTTGTTATGAACATATAAAGCTGGTTCAGAACTCCAGTCATAGATTTATTTTAGATTGATGTGTCGGAAGATTATGAATTTGATTCAGAAATATAAAAAAATTACATGAGGGCCACATGATATTTAAATTAGTATTCCTCGGTAAAGATATGCTGCATCTGGGAGACACTTTTTATAATACAATAAATGATCATTACATTGAGATTGTGATAAATATTAAAAATGATTATGTGCGATCGTTAATTGGGCTATGAAATTGTTCATCAAATCTGATGATGCAAAAGTAAAAGTCTATCGAGTCAGTTTCCCCATTAGCAAAAGGAGCAAAGAGGAGCCACGTGGATTTGGATCGCAAGTCGTGAGACATATCAGGAGTGACGTGGGCTATGCCAGGATGTACGAATTGCGCTAAGGACACCCGTCGATCGGTTCAGGTGTGATTCAGCCAGCCTTCGAGTTAAAACGACCTTGACGTATTAAGACGCAGGCCGCAGGCGTTGCATGCAACTGTGAGCGCGAGTTGGGTCATTAACTAAACACCAAAATAATACCAGCGAAGGCAGAAGACTCATTTTAATTGGTGTACGTGGCGACCGATCCATGTCCCGCGCCGCCCTCGCCAGTCATCCACGTCATCGTTTGGACTCCGCAGAACCTGTCCCTCCTCCCAACCTCTTGTTTCAAACAACGCTTTGCTTCCCTAAAACTTGATTAGTCTGTATCCGGTGGAGAAGAAGGAACTCGATTTCTCGATCCAAAGATCAGATTTTTGGGGCATTTGTTACTCCTAGGAAGTGGTTCTCGTCGGCCAGAAGTGGAGGAGGAATGAACCATTTGTGCTGAAAGGGGAGGAGACATGGCGAGAAGGAAGCCGGTTTTGTTCCTGCTCTGCGTCACTGTTGTTGCGCCTATCGTTCTCGCCATCACGCCTGGTTTCGTCGGTAATGCCTCGTTGAAGCAAGCAATGTGAAAAAGAAACGATCTTTGCTCCCTTTTAATATTCGTTTCCAAGAAAAAAAGAAAAAGTTCTTTATTTCCACGCTGATTCCCCTTTTCTTTTTCTCTACGTATTTGGTAGGCAATAGCCATTTCGGCGACCAGATTCCCATCCTGGTAAGTCACTCGTTTGCCACTGTATCATCAGATTTGGCTTCGTGTATGTACTCTTTTATGAATCGATGCTTTCGTGTTCTTCCTTTTCTCTAGAGTTCAAGGAATGAGGTCGAGACACTCAATGCGCTTTCCCAGGTTACTTTCGATATCTCTTCTACATCTACCTTTTGGATTCATAATTTCTTGATTTCTCTATTCAACTTTTGGTGCATTAATTTCGTCACAGGAGTCTGTTGATGCTGTCAAAGAACCAACTTGGGCCGTTTACCCTGAAAACTCCAGTAACTCAGATCATGTCTCAGCTAAATCCAGTAATGGAGTGGATGCATCAACGACAACAGGTACCAACCACTTCTCTTTGCTCCATTTCAATCGTAGTTTCATATCATCTCCTATGCTATAGATTCACTTAATTGATTTCACGTTGTCGTTTATCTAACTGCTGATTTGTGTGCTTCCAATAGTTAGTGCATTCGGGAGGTCAGTCTTCATATTTTGATCTGGATATCTATTTGCTATTTGGTTGGTGATAGAAATGCCTTTGGGCCAGTCTGGTCAACATAAGAGCCGAGTATTATCAGAAGACTCAGAGGGAACTAATTTGCAGACAAAGACTGTGATTCAGCAAGTGACTAAAAGTGAAAGCAAAGATGATGGCCTCCAGAAGCCAGAAATGGGACGAGAGAACAAGGCGACAGCATTCAAGAAGAGTACATTTGCAACCGAGTCTGGAGAGCAGGTAAAAAGGGATGTGAATTATGGATGCTCAAGTGAGGTTTATCTGTGGATTATACATTTTGTCTTTCTTCTTTTACTTTCGATTAAAAGGCCAAAATCTCATATTTCGTTTCTCAGGAAGAAACAATATACACCATGCGCAGGAAAAATTAACTGAAAACCACTCATCCTCCTTAAGGACAGTGATATAGAAGATACTGGAGTATAAAATTGATTACATTATGGTTCATACGTTCCACAAATGTCTTTGATTAGTTCTCTTGGTAAGATATGCCATGTGTTAGAAAGTTTGTTGATCTTTAAGGCATTATAATTGAAATTAAGCATATGTTGAACAACTGACTGGGAATAGCCTCTTATTTTTGCTTAAATTTCTCTTGTCATGGAGCTTCTTTTTCCTTAGGTCGAGTTCCATACGACCATTCAAGTTCAGTTCATTTCTCTTATATCCTGTATATCATGGGGGAAGAAACCAATTACGACCCTTCATGATTACTTCTTTTTATTTTTTTGGAGACCAGGAAGTGTTGGAGCTTTCATGGATGGATCAGTGAAGGGCTTAGTGAGTGTTCATGGTCAAGAAATTTCTTTCCTCCCATTGTTCATATATGTGCCCTATATTTGATGACTTTAGTTTGTTTTACTCAACCAAGAATGTTAAGTAGATTTCCTAATTGTTCTGCAATCGTATGCTTTTGCTTTAGGTAAAGAAGCTTGCAATAAAAATGTTGCAGTAAATGTTGATGATTCTCCTATCATGGTTTCCCTTCTGTCAAATGTGGTTTCATAGAAATTCTTATCATGATATATAAGGAAGATCATTCAAAAAACTTTTTCAAGTGCTTCTACATTTTCAAATGTTACTCCAATAAGGAAAGATGGTTGCATTGACATAGAGAATCTGTTTCTGTGGCTACTTTTACTGCAAGACATTGGTTATTAGTAAATTTGCTTTTAATTTGATACAAAGCTGATGATCATCTCTGACTACTTGCTTATTCTTTATTCTGAAAAGGATCATCAGAAGCCAGAAAAAGGTTCGAATATTGATTCAGGTGATATGCCTGATGCAAAAATTCGGCAATTTAGGGACCAGCTGATAAGAGCAAAGGTCTTTCTTAGTCTTCCATCTTCTAAAACCTACCCAGAATTCATCAGGGACCTTCGAGTACAGATGAGGGATACTGAGCGCACAATTGGTGATGCAACCTTGGACTCAGAATTGCCAAAGAAGTAAGATCTCTTATCTTGCAAATTTGGTAAAGTCTGTGTTTTCTATTTGTTGCTAAAATCTAAAGGGTGACATGAAACATATTTTATTACTCCATTTATGTTATCTGTTTTATGAAAACATTGTCATACTTCTATTTTCAAAAACTTCAGAAACAAAAACTGAATAAATGCTCGTCCACTGTGCTTGTCATTGCTGCATGGTCATCACGAGGGATATTCGTTTACGTCATCTTCAACCTACAATTCCAAAACATGGAAAACTAATAGACAGCAAAAAAGAAAAAGAAAAAGAAATCCTAACACCACAGAGGCAAACTGATATAATTGATGTTTTATAGATATTAGCATTATTATGGATCAGTTCAGTTTGTAGTGAACTTGTTTTTATCCCAGTGTTTACTAATTCAGTGCCCGTGAGAAACTGAAGGCAATGGAACAAACATTGTTGAAAGGCAAGCAAATTCAAGAAGACTGCTCTGCGGTAGTCGAAAAGCTCCGAGCTTCTTATCAGTCTGCAGAGGAACAAGTGCGTGTTCAGAAGAAACAAGAGTTGTTCCTGACACAAGTTGCTGCAAAAACCCTTCCCAGAGGTCTCCATTGTCTTTCTTTGCATCTTACCACACAGTACTATTTACTTGACTCGAGCCAACAGCAATTCCAACACCAAGAAAGGCTTGAAGATCCTAAACTCTATCACTATGCACTGTTCTCGGATAATGTGTTAGCAACTGCAGTGGTTGTGAATTCTACGGTGTTTCATGCTAAGGTCAGCTTCTGATTGCCTTGACCTTTGGTTTTTGTGTTGACTTTGACTTCAATTTTGCTTTAATGCATATTACAACAAATCTTCCTCTCTTTCTTTTTTTTAACACATGCAGAACCCCAAGAACCATGTATTCCATGTTGTTACCGATAGACTCAACTATGCAGCAATGAAGATGTGGTTTTTGGCTAATCCGCCGGGGAATGCAGCAATTCAGGTTCAGAATGTTGAGGAGTTTACATGGCTGAACTCAAGCTATAGCCCGGTTCTAAAGCAGCTTGGATCTCAATCTATGATAGATTTCTACTTCAGGTTGCACCATGCCAAGTCTGATGGGAACTTGAAGTTCCGAAACCCAAAGTACCTGTCTATCCTAAATCATCTGCGATTCTATCTCCCTGAGATCTTACCAAAACTCAGCAAAGTAGTATTTTTAGACGATGATGTTGTCGTGCAGAAGGACCTTACCTCACTTTGGACAATTGATCTTAAGGGAAAGGTTAATGGTGCAGTTGAAACCTGTGGTGAAAGTTTCCATAGGTTCGATAGGTATCTCAACTTCTCAAATCCCCTTATTGCTGAAAATTTCGACCCTCATGCCTGTGGCTGGGCATTTGGGATGAATGTCTTCGATTTGGATGAGTGGAGGAAGCAGAACATCATTGATATCTATCACCATTGGCAGACACTGGTAAGATACAAATCCTAGTCTCATGTTTTCTTCTCGATGCCCTGTTTGTTTGACTTATAACTACTGATCACAGATCTTGTTCATAATCAATATTTGAACTCTGATATATATGTTCAATTTTTGCACGAAAATTTTGTATGTGGCGTTATTACTACTTTTTATTTGATACTTGTGCAGCATTACTTAGAAAATTCTTGACCAGTGAAAAAGTAATATTTTGTTCTAAGTGAAGCTCAATTTTTCACTTGATTTAGTTTGACGTTGTATCACATCTGCATATAGAAGAAGCTTAAAAGACATTGTTACCTCAAGTGAGCATAATGTTTCATGAGAAACTTAACCTTTTCACTAGATTTACATTGACATTTATGTCTCATCAATATCCAGAAGTTCTGTGAGATGGTTTGATCTCACCATTTTTTTGTTTCCTGCAACTTTGGTTGTACCGTCCACAGAATGAAGACAGACTCTTATGGAAGTTGGGCACTCTTCCACCAGGTTTAATAACATTTTGGAAGCGCACTTACCCCCTCGATCGCTCTTGGCATGTGTTGGGTTTGGGATACAACCCAAATGTGAACCAGCAAGATATCGAAGGAGCAGCTGCAATACACTACAATGGAAACATGAAACCTTGGCTTGAAATAGGGATGGCCAAGTACCACAACTACTGGTCTAAATATGTGAACTACGACCAAGTTTATTTGAGAGACTGCAGCATCAATCCTTAAGAACCAAATGGTGTCTTCAAATCCCGTCTAATACAGGTTCAGCTTATCTTTAGATATTATGTTTGATGGTCTTGTTCTACCTTTTTCTTTAATTTGATTCTTGGTGCTCTAGTTTAGCAAAGCTGGCTGGGGCTGCACTTCTTGTTTTTCTTTTTCCTTTACGATGACTGCATATATGCTTCTACATTAATGAGAGTTAGAATTTGGTTTATGTTGCATTTACTTGGATGTGCTTCTTTCATACTTTTTGCTACAAATTGAACTACCATCATAGGTTGGTTTCTCTTCACTGACAACATGCAAATGTAGTGCTTCTTGTTTGGTGGGTGACTTCTTTTCCTTCAAAATAAGAAAAGAAAATTATAGTGATCAACTTATAGTTAGTTCAAGTGTAGGAATCATTTTCCAAAGAGTGCTAATAAAAGAGTCTTAGTGATTGGAGAATCAATTTACATGCTTTATATATCTCCTTTTCTTTCTTTAAAACCCAGTACTGTCATCAACAGAGCTTCTTCGGCAACTTGATTTCCATTAACAGAAAACATAAATAGGTACATAAATCTCACGATACTAATAGAGCTTTCTTCTGATTTCCATTAACAGAAAACATAAATAGGTACATAAATCTCCAAAATGTCGTTTTTTGTCTTCATCTGGTGGCTTATCCCTTACTCCCTCTATATATTCCTTTTTCTCTTCTATTATTTTCTATTTGAATCTTATTTCGTATGATTCATAGTTGCTTTGTACTATATACAAGTGTGATGAAGACTTGTGACAACAACCATAGGTGAGAAGCTGCATACTGTTATCCAAAAGTATGAATTATATGCCTTGCTAACAACTCTTTGTCATCAAATCAGAATGAGATTAGTTAACTTCTGCACATTTATGCTGCACAAAAAAGTGTCGAAATCAGATTTATTTTTGATACAAAAGTATTGGCGCAACAGATGGTTTCTGCACCAGATAAATTATCAGGGCAAGTCTCAGATGATTCTGTGACGGATTCAGAGTAGCGATGGATATCCTTTTCATCCTTTTTGAACGTGGAAACCACCACAGTTGAAGTGGATGTCGAGTGGAACAGAGAATAAACTTTTCTTTTCTGTGTTTAATTTCTTAGTGATTTGAAAGGAAGAGTAGACTTGTTAAAATCTTATTGATGGAGGGAAGAGGACGATAAAGGAGACTTGTGGAGGAAACGAAATTGATACATACAGGCCGATGATTCTTTGTTTTCTCTTCCTGGCTGTTCATACAGAGGATATTGAGAAGGGATATGATGGATTCGAGTGTTATTACCTGTAAATACATATATATATATATATATATATATATATATATATATATATATATATATATATATATATATATATATATATATATATATATAGAGAGAGAGAGAGAGAGAGAG